TGGACGTGCTCGTTGGCCAATCGGCTTTGGAGACCTGGACGTGCTCGTTGGCCAATTGGCTTTGGAGATCCAGACGTGCTCATTGGCCAGTCGGCTTTGGTGATCTGGACATGCTCATTGACCAATCAGCTTTGGAGACCCGGACATGCTCATTGGCCAATCGGCTTTGGAGACCCGGATGTGCTCGTTGGCCAATTGGCTTTGGAGATCCAGACGTGCTCATTGGCCAATTGGCTTTGGAGACCTGCACGTGCTCATTGGCCAATTGGCTTTGGAGATCCAGATGTGCTCATTGGCCAATCGACTTTGGAGACCTGGATGTGCTCATTGGCCAATTGGCTTTGGAGATCCAGACATGCTCATTGGCCAGTTGGCTTTGGTGATCTGGACATGCTTGTTGGCCAATCAGCTTTGGAGACCTGGGCGTGCTTGTTGGCCAACCAAATGATGACGTCGGCATGTGCTGATTGGCTGGCCAGCTGTGGAGAGGAGCTGATTGGCCGGTCAGGCTTTGGGGGCTGGAGCAGGAGGCCCAGGCTGGGGCTCGTGGTTCTCCAGCACCTTCGTGGTGCCTCCACATGACATGGACACTCAGACGGGACAGCACAACCTCCAGCCGGCCATGACACGCAGCCACCCGGCCGTGATGTCACTCGTGTCCACAGGTCCACACCACACGTCCACGCGGCCATGACACACGGCCATGATGTCACCTGTGTCCGCAGGTCCACAACCCATCTGCACGTCCGTGACATGCGTCCATGTGTCCATGATGCGTGTCCACATGGCCGTGATGTCACCTGTGTCCACAGGTCCACACCACCCATCTGCATGTCCACACCACACGTCCACATGGCCATGGCACATGGCCATGATGTCACCCGTGTCCACGGGTCCATAACATGTCTGCATGTCCATGACAAACGTCCACGACACACGTCCACACGTCCATGACATGCGTCCACATGGCCGTGATGTCACCTGTGTCCACAGGTTCACAAGATGTCCACACCATGCTTCCACACCACACGTCCACGTGTCCATGACGCATGTCCCCATGTCCACCCC